TATCCCACGATATCCCACGATATCCCATGATATCCCACAATATCAACAGCTATCAAACAATATAAAACGCTATCAAACCCTATCAAACGCTATCAAACCCTATCAAACGCTATCAAACCCTATCAAACGCTATCACACGCTATCAAATGCTATCAAACCCTATCAAACCCTATCAAACGCTATCAAACCCTATCAAACCCTATCAAACGCTATCAAACCCTATCAAACGCTATCAAACGCTATCAAACGCTACCACACGCTATCACACGCTATCACACGCTATCCCGCGCTCTCCCGCAGTCTCGCTGTCGCTGGACGAGCGCTGCACGCCCCCGGCGCTGCTGATCCGGGGCCCATCCCGGATCCTCGGCCCCGATCCCGGATCCCGGCCCCACCCCCGGGCCCTGGCCGTGGCGCGGGAGGGATTTTCCCGCGGGAAGCACTACTGGGAAGTGGAGCTGGGAGACGGCAGCGCCTGGGAGCTGGGCGTGCTCCGCGAGGAGATCCGGGATTCCCTGCGGGATTCCCTGCGGGATCCCATCCCGAATTCCATCCCGGATTCCCTGCAGGATCCCATCCCAGATTCCCTGCAGGATTCCACCCTGGCTCCCATCCTGAATTCCATCTCAAATTCCATTCTGGATTCCATCCCAAGCTCCATCCCAGATTCCATCCCAAATTCCACCCCAAATTCCACCCCAAATTCCATCCCGGATTCTCTGCAGGATCCCATCCCAGATCCCATCCCGGATTCCCTGCAGGATTCCACCCTGGCTCCCATCCTGAATTCCATCTCAAATTCCATTCTGGATTCCATCCCAAGCTCCATCCCAGATTCCATCCCAAATTCCACCCCAAATTCCACCCCAAATTCCATCCCGGATTCTCTGCAGGATCCCATCCCAGATCCCATCCCGGATTCCCTGCAGGATTCCACCCTGGCTCCCATCCTGAATTCCATCTCAAATTCCATTCTGGATTCCATCCCGAATTCCATCCCAGATCCCACCCCGGATCCCATCCTGAATTCCATCACAGATCCCATCCCGAATCCCATCCCGAATCCCATCCCGAATTCCATCATGGATCCCATCCCGGATCCTATCCCAAATTCCATCCCGGATCCTATCCCAAATTCCATCCCGGATCCCATCCCCAATTCCATCACACATCCCATCCTGGATCCCATCCCGAATTCCATCACAGATCCCATCCCGGATCCCATCCCGGATCCCATCCCGAATTCCATCACAGATCCCATCCTGGATCCCATCCCGGATCCCATCCCGAATTCCATCACAGATCCCATCCCGGATCCCATCCCGGATCCCATCCCGAATTCCATCACAGATCCCATCCTGGATCCCATCCCGGATCCCATCCCGAATTCCATCACAGATCCCATCCCGGATCCCATCCTGGATCCTATCCCGGATCCTATCCCAGATTCCATCCCGGACCCCATCCCGGATCCCCTGCGGGATGATTCCCTGCGGGATGATTCCCTCCCCTCCATCCCGGAGGAGGCGGCCCCAGGGCTGCAGTATTCCCAGGGAGAATTCCGGCTGCCGGGGGGGAAGCTGGAGCGGAATTCCGGGCGCTGCCGCGTGCTCGGGGTGCTGCTGGACCAGGAGCGGCGCGTGCTCGAGTTCTTCGACGCCGAGGAGAAGCAGCTCCTGGGATCCCTTCCCTTGAAAATTTCCGGGAATCTTTTCCCGTTCTTCAGGCCAGGATCTGGTGGGAATGGTCTGGGGATCCGCCCCGTGAGGGTTTGAAACCACCAGGGAGGGACCTGTGGAATATTCGTGTTTAAAAATTAAATTTCCAGTTATACATTCAAATAATTCTCATTTTAAAATTCCAATTATGCCCTAGCCCAAACCCTTTGAAATATTCACATTTAAAAATTAAATTCCAGGTTAAATATTCAAATAATACTAATTTTAATATTTCAAATATTCACTGACCCTAACCCAAACACTAACCCTAAACCTAAGCCTAACTCTAACCCCAATCCTTACCCAAACACAAATTAGAATTTAAACATTCAAATTATTCATATCTTAATATTACAATTATCCCCTAACCTTAACCCTTCCCTCGAAAATTTTCAGGAATCTTTTCCCGTTCTTCTGACCAGGATCTGGTGGGAATGGTCTGGGGATCTGGCCTGTGAGGGTTTGAAACCGACAGGGAGAGATATATGGAATATTCACATTTTAAAATTAAATATCCTATTAAATATGCAAATAACTGTCATTTTAATATTCCAGATTTTCATTGTTTGTAACCCTGAATCTAACCCTAACCTAACCCTGACCCTTTGGAATAATCACTCTTAAAAATTAAATTCCCAGTTAAATATTCAAATAATTCTCATTCCAATAGGCCAAATATTCACTGACCATAAACCTCGCCCTAAACCTAACCCTAATCCTAAGCCTAACCCTAATCCTAACCCAAATTCAAATTTAAATATTCAAATTATTCCCATTTTTGTATGGCAATTATCCCCTAACCTTACCCTGGCACTGACAATGACCCTAACCCAAGCCCTAAAACTGAGCCTAACTCTAATTCCCTGTTAAATATTCAAAATATTCTCATTTCAAAATTCCAGTTGTCCCCTAACCCTGACCTGAACCCTGACCCTTTGGAATATTCCATTTAAAAATGAAATTCCCTGTTAAATACTCAAGATATTATAATTTTAATATTCCAATTATCCCCTAACCCAAATCCTAACCTTAAGCCTAAACCTAATCCTTTGGAATATGCACTTTTAAAAATTAAATTCCCTGCTAAATATTCAAATAAATCTCATTTTAATATTCCACATATTCACTGACCATAACCCTGACCATGACCCTAACACTAACCCTTTGAAATATTTGGTTTAAAAATTAAATTCCCTGTAAAATATCCAAATTATTATAATTTTTAAATTCTCATTATTCCCTAACCCAAACCCTGACCTTAAGCCAAACACTTTGGAACATTTGCTTTTAACAATTAAATTCTTGTTAGATATTCAAGCTATTCTCATTTTAATATTCCAAATATTTACAAACTGTAACCGTGACCTTAACCCTAACCCTGACCCAAATTCCAATGTGAATATTCAAATTATTTGCATTTTAATATTCTAAATATTCCTTGAACCTAACCTTAACCCTATTCACTTTAAAAAACTATTTTAACATTATTATATAAAGTATAATCTTATATAAAAATACTATAGAAATTAAAATTTTTAAATTATTCTCATTCAAAGATGCCAATTATCACCTAACCCAAGGCGACAGCGGGGATGGACACGGGGACACCCAGCAGGAGTGGAAGACTTGAGAGGGAAATCCAAATTTGTGGGTGGGAAACATGTGGGAGAAAAGGGCGGAAAAAGTGAGGTAAAAAATGGGAAAAATAAAGGAAAAAAAAGACGGAAAATGTGAGAGGAAAAATGGCGGGAAACGTGAGGGGAGAAAATGGTGGGAAAATATGAGGAGGGGAAATGGAGGGAAATGTGAAGTAAAAATTAGGGCAACATGAGAGAAAAAACTAGGAAATGAGGGGAAAAATGGAAAATGTGAGGGAAAAACAGGTGGGAAACATGAGAGAACAAAAAGGCAGGAAATGTGAGGTAAAAAATGGGAAATGTGAGTGAAAAACGGGTGGGAAATGTGAGGGGGAAAAGGCAGAAAAGATGAGGCTGAAAATGGGAAATGTGAGGGAAAAACGGGTGGGAAACGTGAGAGGAAAAAGCTAGAAACTTGAGGGGAGAAAATGGAGGGAAACGTGAGGGGAGAAAATTATGGGAAATGTGAGGGGAAAAATGGGAAATGTGAGGGGAAAATGGGTGGGAAATGTGAGGTAAAAAATGGGAAATGTGAGGTAAAAAAATAGGAAACATGAGGGGAAAATGGGTGAGAAAAGTGAGGGGGAAAGGGTGGAAAAAGTGAGGTAAAAAATGGGAAAAGTGAGGGAAAAAATGTTGAGAAATGTGAGAGGAAAAGTGATGGGAAATGCGAGGGGAGAAAAGAGCGGGAAACGTGAGGGGAGAAAATTATGGGAAATATGAGGGGAAAAATGGGAAATGTGAGGGAAAAATGGGCGGGAAATGTGAGGTAAAAAAATGGGAAATGTGAGGGAAAAATGGGTGGGAAATGTGAGGTAAAAAATGGGAAATGTGAGGGGAAAATGGGTGGGAAATGTGAGGCAAAAAATGGGAAATGTGAGGGGAAAATGGGTGGGAAATGTGAGGCAAAAAATGGGAAACATGAGGGAAAAAAAGGGTGAGAAATGTGAGAGGGAATAATGGTGGGAAATGTGAGGGGAGAAAAGAGGGAAACGTGAGGGGGAAAGGGCAGAAAAGGTGAGGAAAAAATAGGAAATGTGAGGGGAAAAATGGGAAATGTGAGGTAAGAAAATAGGAAACATGAGGGAAAAAAAGGGCGAGAAATGTGAGAGGGAATAATGGTGGGAAATGTGAGGGGAGAAAAGAGGGAAACGTGAGGGGGAAAGGGCAGAAAAGGTGAGGAAAAAATAGGAAATGTGAGGGGAAAAATGGGAAATGTGAGGTAAGAAAATAGGAAACATGAGGGAAAAAAAGGGCGAGAAATGTGAGAGGGAATAATGGTGGGAAATGTGAGGGGAGAAAAGAGGGAAACGTGAGGGGGAAAGGGCAGAAAAGGTGAGGAAAAAATAGGAAATGTGAGGGGAAAAATGGGAAATGTGAGGTAAGAAAATAGGAAACATGAGGGAAAAAAAGGGCGAGAAATGTGAGAGGGAATAATGGTGGGAAATGTGAGGGGAGAAAAGAGGGAAACGTGAGGGGGAAAGGGCAGAAAAGGTGAGGAAAAAATAGGAAATGTGAGGGGAAAAATGGGAAATGTGAGGTAAGAAAATAGGAAACATGAGGGAAAAAAAGGGCGAGAAATGTGAGAGGGAATAATGGTGGGAAATGTGAGGGGAGAAAAGAGGGAAACGTGAGGGGGAAAGGGCAGAAAAGGTGAGGAAAAAATAGGAAATGTGAGGGGAAAAATGGGAAATGTGAGGTAAGAAAATAGGAAACATGAGGGAAAAAAAGGGCGAGAAATGTGAGAGGGAATAATGGTGGGAAATGTGAGGGGAGAAAAGAGGGAAACGTGAGGGGGAAAGGGCAGAAAAGGTGAGGAAAAAATAGGAAATGTGAGGGGAAAAATGGGAAATGTGAGGTAAGAAAATAGGAAACATGAGGGAAAAAAAGGGCGAGAAATGTGAGAGGGAATAATGGTGGGAAATGTGAGGGGAGAAAAGAGGGAAACGTGAGGGGGAAAGGGCAGAAAAGGTGAGGAAAAAATAGGAAATGTGAGGGGAAAAAGGATGGGAAAGTGAGAGGAAAATGAGCTGGAAACATGAGGGGATAAAATGGAGGAAAAGTGGTAAAAAATAGGAAACATGAGGGAAAAAACCTGGGAAACATGAGGGAAAAAGGAAATGTGAGGGGAAAAATGGGTGGGAAACATGAGGGGAGAAAATGGTAGGAAATGTGAGGTAAAAATGGGTGGGAAATGTGAGGGGGGAAAATGGAGGGAAACGTGAGGGGGGAAAGAGTGTGAAATATTAGGGGAGAAGGGCAGGAAAGGTGAGGAAAAAATAGGAAATGTGAGGGGAAAAAGGATGGGAAAGTGAGAGGAAAAAGAGCGGGAAATGTGAGGGGAGAAAAGGGCGGGAAGCGTGAGGGGAGAAAAGGGCGGGAAGCGTGAGGGGAGAAAAGGGCGGGAAGCGTGAGGGGAGACGGACGTGATTCATGAAGGGAGGAAAAAAGGTGGAAAATGTGAGGTAAGAAAAGGGAAAATATGAGGGGGAAAGAGGGTGGAAAACGTGAGGTAAAAAATGAGAAATAAGAGGGTGGAAATGGTGGGAAGCATGAGGGGAGAAAATTCCGGGAAATGTGAGGGTGAAAATGTCAGGAAACATGAAGGGGGGAAAGGGTGGGAAACATGAGGTAAAAAATGAGAAATAAGAGGGTGGAAATGGTGGGAAGCATGAGGGGAGAAAATTCCGGGAAATGTGAGGGGGGGAAAGGGTGTAAAATGTGAGGTAAAAAATGGGAAATGTGAGGGTGAAAATGGCAGGAAATGTGAAGGGGAAAGAGGGTGGAAAATATGAGGTAAAAAATGGGAAACGTGAGGGGGAAAGAGGGTGGAAAACAAGAGGTATAAAACGACAAGAGGGTGAAAATAGTGGGAAAAATGAGGGGGGAAAAGGCCTGAAAACGTGAGGTAAAAAAATGGGAAATAAGAGGGTGATAATGGTGGGAAACGTGAGGGTGAAAATGTCAGGAAATGTGAAGGGGAAAGAGGGTGGAAAACGTGAGGTAAAAAATGAGAAATACGAGGGTGAAAATGGCAGGAAATGTGAGGGGGGGAAAGCCCAGAAAACGTGAGGTAAAAAGTGGGAAATAAAAGGGTGAAAATGGTGGGAAACACGAACGGAGAAAGTGTTGGGAAATGTGAGGGGGAAAGAGGGTGGAAAACGTGAGGTAAAAAATTGGAAAAGTGAGGGGGAAAAATGGGAAAAAAGAGGGGGAAAGAGGTGGAAAACGTGAGGTAAAAAATGGGAAACGTGAGAGTGAAAATGTCAGGAAATATGAGGGTGAAAATAACAGGGAGCATGAGGTAAAAAATGGGAAATAAGAGGGTGAAAATGTTGGGAAATGTTAGCAGTCCATGATGAGCGGCCTCTGGCAAGGGCCTGTGCACCAATGGTCTTTGTGGGGATTAATAATAATAATAATAATAATAATAATAATAATAATAATAATAATTTATGCTAGTAGATTTATATATTATTATATTGCTATATTATTATATATTATATTTTATTTTTATTATACTCATTTAAAATTATTATTATTATCCTTGTTGTTACCATAATTATTGTTATTATTATTAATAATGGTAGTATTAGTAGTAGTAATAGTAAAAAAGTTATTTTGGAGTAAACCCCGGAAATCCCTCACTCGTGGAGCAGGAAGGCAACAAACCGCTCTTGGGTTTTTTTTGGGAAAAACCCAAATCAGGTCATTTCTCTATTCCTCTGCTCGGAAATGCGTTTGTGGGGAAAGCTGAGGAGGTTTGCGGTTAAATTCGACCAAAAATCTCCAATTCCTCATTCCGTTCTCTGTCTGGGGCAGCCCCGCCGAACTCTGCCGCCTTCCTGCCCCAATCCGGAAAAAACATCCCCGAAAACTTCGGGTTTCTCCCTAAAACCTCGGGTTCCTCTCCAAAACCTCGGGTTTTCCCCGAAAACCTCGGGTTTTTCTCCAAAACATCGGGTTTTTTTTCCCTAAAACCTCGGGTTTTTCTCCAAAACATCGGGGTTTTTTTCCCTAAAACCTCGGGTTTCTCCCTAAAATCTGGCGTTTTTTCCCCCCAAAACCTCAGGGGTTTTCCTTAAAACCTCGTTTTTTCCCCCAAAACCTCGGGTTTTGCCGAAAACCTCGAGTTTTTTTCCCTAAAACCTCGGGTTTTTCCCTACAACCTCTCGATTTTTTTCCCCAAGTACTCGGCTCTTTCCCCCAGACCCCACGGTTTTTCCCTAAAACCGCTCGATTTTCCCCCAAATCCTCGGGTTTCTCCCCAAAACCGCTCGGTTTTTCCCCAAGCCCGCCTTGCTCGCGGCCCGCGGCGCTGCCTACCAGAGCCCGGATAGCTCAGTCGGTAGAGCATCAGACTTTTAATCTGAGGGTCCAGGGTTCAAGTCCCTGTTCGGGCGGCTCTCCTTTTCCTCTTTTCTTTTTCCTATTTTTTTCCTCCCCCCTCCCCCTTTTTCTCTTTTTTCCCCTTTTTTCCCCTTTTCACCCTTTTCCTCTTTTCCCAGCCCGCTCCGTGGGTTTCTCCGCCCCCTCCCGCAGGGACGGCCCGCGGTCTCTTTTTCCTGGCGGAGGGAGCGGGGCGGAGCGTCCCGGGCGGTCCCATGGTGTAATGGTTAGCACTCTGGACTCTGAATCCAGCGATCCGAGTTCGAATCTCGGTGGGACCTGCGCCTCCTTTTGCGGGCGGCACCGCCCGACCCCCGGCCTGGGGTGTCCCCTGGGGTGTCACTGAAGTGTTCCTGGGGTGTCCCCGCTTCGAGGTGTCCCCCGGGTGTCCTTGATTTGGGGGTGTCCCCGAGGTTCCCCGGGGTGTCCCTGCTTCGGGGTGTCCTGGAGGTGTCCCCGGGGTGTCCCAGATGAACAGCCAGGCTGGCAGAGGCCGGACAAATGGACAGATGTGGTGGCACATGCTGGACAGCTGGACAGAGGCTGGACAGCCGGACAGCTGGACAGCCGGACAGGCAGAGGCTGGATAGCCGGACAGAGGCCAGACAGATGGACAGCCAGGCTGGCAGAGGCGAGACAGAAGGACATCCAGGCAGGCAGAGAGTGGATGGCTGGACAGAGGCTGGACAGCCGGACAGACAGTCAGCCAGAGAGCTGGACAGCTGGACAGACAGCCAGCTGGACAGACAGACGGCTGGGCAGGCAGAGCCACCGGGCCGTGGCAGCCGCTGCCTGCGGAGCCACTCCCGGGGGCGGGGAAGGCCGAAGGGAACAAAACAATCGGAAAGAAGGAAGGAAAGCAAACAGAGAGCACAAACCAAAGAGCGGCGACCTCCGGACCTCGGCACCGCCGCCACCGCGGCCCAAAGGTCGCCCGGCGGACCTTGGCCACCGGCCCCGCAGCGCTGGTGACCATGGCGGTGCTGCCGGCCCTGGTGGCCCTGGTGGCCGTGCTGCTGGTCCTGGTTCCGGTGGCCGCAGCCCGCTTGGTGCCGTTCCTGTGGGAGGACCTGGCGTTCTTCGCCACCATGGCGAGGGCATCGCTGCGGTGCCGCCGGCGCCTGGCCAGCCGGCCGGCCACCACCCTGCTGGACGTGTTCCAGCAGCACGCCCGGCTCCGGCCGCGCCGGCCGCTGCTGCTCTTCCAGGACGAGGTCTACACCTTTGAGGACATCGAGCGCCGCAGCAACCGCGCCGCCTGGGCCCTGTCGCGGCGCCTGGGGCTGCGCGGCGGCCGCACGGTGGCCGTGTTCCTGCCCAACGAGCCGGCCTACCTGTGGACGTGGCTGGCGTTGGCCAAGTTGGGTTGCCCCATGGCTTGTCTCAACTGCAACGTCAGGGGCCGGGCGCTGCGGCACGCGCTGGAGGCGGCCGAGGCCACCGTGCTGCTGGCCAGCCCTGGTGAGAGGGGACAGCGCGGTGTTCGGGGGGCTTGGTGGCCACCAAGGCCACCATGGTGCTGGCCAGTCCCAGTGAGAGGGGACACTGTGGCATTTGGGGCGGTTTGGGGACTTGGTGGCATTGTGGCCACCAAGGCCACCCTGGTCTGTGCCAGTCCCAGTGAGTGCACCCAGTGGGGTGGGAGGATTGGCATGTGTGTGACTGTCCCTGTGTGTGTGTCACTGTGTGTGACTGTCCCTGTGTGTGTGTGTGTGACTGTCCCTGTGTGTGTGTGTGTGTGTGACTGTCCCTGTGTGTGTGACTGTCCCTGTGTGTGTATCACTCTGTGTCACTGTCCCTGTGTGTGCGTCGCTGTGTCACTGTCCCTCTGTGTGTGTCACTGTCCCTGTGTGTGTGCCACAGCCTGTACAGGGCTGTCCCTGAGTGTGTCACTGTCCCTGTGTGTGTCCCTGTGTGTGTCACTGTCCCCGTGTGTGTGTCACTGTCCCTGTGTGTGTCACTGTGTGTGTCACTGTCCCTGTGTGTGTCACTGTCCCTCTGTGTGTGTCACTGTCCCTTCCTGTGTGTCACAGCCTGGACAGGGCTGTCCCTGTGTGTGACCCCCAGGTGCACCCATGGGATCGGGGTTCCCTTTGGGGTGACCCCGTTTAGGATCACTGAGGGGGCGTGGCTGGCCGAGACCCCCTTTTCGGGGTGCTCAGGGTGTGTGGGGTGTCTGGGGGGGCACAGGACCCCCCCTTTTTGGGTGCTCGGGGCCTCCTTGGGCAGGATTGGGGTGTCTGGGGGGGACACAGGACCCCCTTTCGGGGTGCTCAGGGTGTGTGTGGTGTCTGGGGGGGGCACAGGACCCCTTTTCGGGGTGGTCAGGGTACCCCTCAGGGTTTGTGGGGTGCCTGGGGGGTCAGGGAGCTGGTTTGGGGTGCTCAGGGTGCCCCTCGGGGTGTGTGGGGTGCCTAGGGGGGTCAGGGAGCTGGTTTGGGCTGCTCAGGGAGCCCCTCGGGGAGGTTTGGGGTTCTCAGGGGGTCATGGAGCCATTTTGGGGTGCTCTGGGTGCCCCCCAGGCTCCTGCCCAGAACCCTCTGGGTGCCCGGGGCCCTTGGGTGCCCATCCTGGGTTCTGGGGTGCCCACAGCACCAGGGCTCACATCTGGGGTGGGTCTGGTGCCCACCTGACCAGGTGCCCATTTGGGCGTACCTTAGGGTGCCCATCTGAGAACCTCTACCTACCCATGATTGTGGGGGTGCCCACCTGACCAAGTGCACATTTGGGGCTACATTGAGGTGCCCACCTGGGAACCTTGGCCCACGCACCCATTCCAGGGTGCCCACCTGACCAGGTGCCCATTTGGGGGTACCTTAGGGGTGCTCTGGGTGCCCCCCAGGCTCCTGCCCAGAACCCTCTGGGTGCCCGGGGCCCTTGGGTGCCCATCCTGGGTTCTGGGGTGCCCACAGCACCAGGGCTCACATTTGGGGTGGGTCTGGTGCCCACCTGACCAGGTGCCCATTTGGGGGTACCTTAGGGTGCCCACCTGGGAACCTTGGACCCCCACCCATTCTGGGGGTGCCCACCTGACCAGGTGCCCATTTAGGATACCTGGAGTACCCACCCGAGAACCTTGGACCCCCATTCTGGATTCCAGGGTGCCCACCTGACCAGGTGCCCATTTGGGATACCTTAGGGTGCCCACCTGGGAACCTTGGACCCCCACCCATTCCAGGTGTGCCCACCTGACCAAGTGCACATTTGGGGGTACATTGAGGTGCCCACCTGGGAACCTTGGCCCACGCACCCATTCCAGGGTGCCCACCTGACCAGGTGCCCATTTGGGGGTACCTTAGGGTGCCCACCTGAGAACCTTGGACCCCCATTCTGGATTCCAGGGTGCCCACCTGACCAGGTGCCCATTTGGGGGTACCTTAGGGTGCCCATCTGAGAACCTCTACCTACCCATGATTGTGGGGGTGCCCACCTGACCAAGTGCACATTTGGGGGTACATTGAGGTGCCCACCTGGGAACCTTGGCCCGCCCACCCATTCCGGGTGTGCCCACCTGACCAGGTGCCCATGTAGGGTCACCCCCGTGTCCGTCTGTCCCTGCAGAGCTCCACGAGGCCGTGGAGGAGGTTCTGCCCGACCTGCGGCACGCCGGCGTCGCCGTTTTCTACCTGAGCGCGGAGTCGCCCACGCCGGGCGTGGAGGCGCTGCTGCCCGCCATCGAGGCGGCGCCCGAGGAGCCGCCGCCCGCCGCGCACCGCGCCGGCGTCACCGCCAACTCCAAGGCCATGTACATCTACACCTCGGGCACCACCGGTGAGCTGGGCCCCCTCGGGGCTCGGGGGCTTGTGGGGATGGGCACCTTGGAGGGGCTTGGGGGGCTTTCTGCAACCCTGACCATGGCGGGTCCACCTGGGCCAGGTGTGGCCTGGCTGTGTGCACACATGGGCACCTTGGAGGGGCTTGGGGGGCTTCCTGTAATGCTGACCGGCATGGATCCACCTGGGCCAGGTGTGGCCTGGCTGTGTGCACACATGGGCACCTTGGAGGGGCTTGGGGGGCTTCCTGTAATGCTGACCGGCATGGATCCACCTGGGCCAGGTGTGGCCTGGCTGTGTGCACACATGGGCAGCTAGGAGGGGTCTTGGGGGGCTTCCTGCAATGCTGACCATCATGGATCCACCTGGGCCAGGTGTGTCCTGGCTGTGTGCACACATGGGCACCTTGGAGGGGTCTTGGGGGGCTTCCTGTAATGCTGACCGTCATGGATCCACCTGGGCCAGGTGTGCCCTGGCTGTGTCCATGTGGGTGGGTCAGCATTGATGGAAGGGCTCTTGGGGGTCTTTCTGCAATGCTGACCATTGTGGGTCCACCTGGGCCAGGTGTGTCCTGGCCGTGTCTGGGCAGGTGGATCAACATTGGTGGGGTCTTGGGGGTCTTTCTGCAACCCTGACCATGGTGGGTCCACCTGGGCCAGGTGTGTCCTGGCTGTGTCTGTGCGGGTGGATCAACATTGGTGGGCTCTTGGGGGGCTTCCTGCAATGCTGTCCATAGCAGGTTCACCTGGGCCAGGTGTGTCCTGGCTGTGTCCATGTGCGTGGGTCAGCATTGATGGAAGGGGTCTTGGGGGTCTTTCTGCAACCCTGACCATTGTGGGTCCACCTGGGCCAGGCGTCCACACAGGCAGGTCAGCACTGGAGGGGTCTTGGGAGGTCTTTCTCCAGCCATGACCATCTCAGGTCCACCTGGGCCAGGTGTGTCCTGTGCCTGTGGATGGACTGGATGAACGTGGACGAGGATCCTCACGGTTCCTCCAACAAGGGACAAAGACCCCAGTTGCAGAGACCCCCACTGTCCACCCCAGGACCCCCCAGGACCCCCCAGGAGCGTGTCCCACCCAGCCGTTGTCCCCTCAGGGCTGCCCAAGGCCGCGGTGATCACGGAGATGAAGCTGATGATGGTGGCCAGCCTGGCCCGCATGTGCGGCCTGCGGCCCGACGACGTCGTCTACACCACGCTGCCGCTCTACCACTCGGCCGGGCTGCTGGTGGGGCTCGGGGGGTGCCTGGACGTTGGTACGGACCCCAAAACCAAGGCCACGGAGGGAGGGACGGACAGGTGGACGGGATGGATGGATGGATGGATGATGGATGGGTGGATGGATGGATCATGGATGGATGGATGATCGATGATGGATGGATGATGGATGATGGATGGATGGATGATGGATGGATGGATGATGGATGGGTGGATGGATGGATGATGGATGGATGATGGATGATGGATGATGGATGGATGATGGATGGATCATGGATGGATCATGGATGGATGGATGATGGATGATGGATGGATGATGGATGATGGATGGATGATGGATGATGGATGGATGGATGATGGATGGATGGAAGGAGACAAGGACAAAAGATAAAAGCCTCGGGGTCACTGTCCCCGTGCCATGTCCCCAGGAGCCACCTGCGTCCTGCGGGCCAAGTTCTCGGCCTCTCAGTTCTGGCCCGACTGCCGGCGCTACAACGTCTCCGTCATCCAGTACGTGGGCGAGCTCATGCGCTACCTGTGCAACACGCCCAAGGTGAGGCCCCGCCCACCCCAACCTCCCCCCTGAGGGGTCAGCGACGCTCCGGTCACACCCCGAGGTGGCCCTGTCCCCATGTCACCCCCAGTGTGCCGATGACCGGGAGCACGGCGTGCGCATGGCCCTGGGCAACGGCCTGAGGGCGGAGGTGTGGAAGGAGTTCCTGCGGCGCTTCGGGCCCGTGGCCGTCTGGGAGTTCTACGGAGCCACCGAGGGCAACGCCGGCTTCATCAACTACACCGGCAAGGTCGGGGCCGTGGGCAGGGCCAACAGGTTCGTCAAGGTGAGAACAGAACGTCCTCCTCGGGGTGGGAGGTGGGGACAACACCGGCGCATTGAGGGGCCCAACGTGGCTCCTCCAGTTGGGGTTCAGCCAAGGAAAGGTTAAGCCTTGGTTGAGTCTTGGATGAACCTCTTGGTGGTGGAGCAAACAGTGACATCTCCAGGGGAAGCCAACAGCATCCATCAGGATGGGCTGGACAACAGCAGAGTCCCCAGAACGCCCTTTTCACACCCAAAATGAGTCCCCTCCACCTGGTTGGCCAACACTGACTCAACAGTGTTGACATGGAGCCTGATTTTGGGGTGTCCATGGGGACCTGGTCATCTCTGTGGCCCTTTGGTGCCACGTCTCAACCCCCAACCTGTTGAGAAAAAGCTGCAAAAAATCAGATTTTTGAGCAAAAGCTTGGATGGAGCAAAAGCTGCGAAAATCAGATTTTCCTCCCTTCTTCCCCATCGTGTCATCCCCCAGCTCCTGGATTTGGAAGATGCCACCATGAGTTCATTCGCCGTTAGAATGGATCAGATCGAACCTTATTTGAACAACTTTAAATCAGATTTAATTTTAGTGATTTCAACTAAAAAAATTTAAATTAAGGACAATTAAACCCAAATGGTTTTTAACGCCCAAAATGTCGGGATTGGGGGTGTTCCGTGGGTTGGAACAGACCAATCACAGCAGACCACACCCGGAACGGGAAGGAAATTCTGGATGTTTCCATGGTAAGGAAATTCTGGAAATTTCCACAAGAAGGAAATTTCCACGGGAAGGAAATGCTGGAAATCTCCACGGGAAGAAAATTCTGGAAATTTCCATGGGAAGGAAATTCTGGAAATCTCCACAGCATGGAAATTCTGGCAATTTCCACAAGAAGGAAATGCTGGAAATCTCCACGGGAAGGAAATTCTGGATGCTTCTACAGGAGAGAAATTCTGGAAATGACCATGGGAAGGAAATGCTGAAAATATCCATGGGAAGGAAATTCTGGAAATTTCCACGGGAAGGAAATCCTCCTGCCTGTTTCTAAGCCCAGGTTTGTCCCTCCCCTGCAGCTCTTCGCTCCCTTCGAGCTCATCAGGTACAACGTGGAGCAGGACGAGCCCGTGCGCGACGAGCGGGGGCTCTGCATCCCCACCAAACCCGGTAAGGGCTCTCTCGGGGGCTGGAGATGCACCAAAACCACCTCTCAGCTCTGGCCACCACCCTCCCGGTGAGCAGAAGCCACCAGGAACCCCTGGAAGAAGCCAAGGCTTCTTGGGCAGCCTCCAAGCCTTGTCTTCCTCCCCGAAGGTGAGACGGGGCTGCTGGTGATCAAGATCACCAAGAACACCCCGTTCCACGGCTACGCCGGCGACTCGCAGAAGACCGAGAAGAAGATCCTGAGGGACGTCTTGGCCAAAGGCGACGCCTTCTTCAACAGCGGCGACCTCCTCATGATGGACAGCCAGAATTTCATCTACTTCCAGGACCGTGTCGGGGACACCTTCCGGTAACTCCGGGGCTCCCGCGTGTCCGAGCGGTCGGTGCCGGCCCAAATCCCCGCTCACGGCTCTGTCCCTTCTCCTCCCCAGGTGGAAAGGGGAGAACGTGGCCACGACGGAGGTGGAGGCCACGCTGGGCCTGGTGAGCTTCATCCAGGAGGTCAACGTCTACGGCGTGGCCGTGCCGGGTGAGTGCCACCAAGGACCGGGGGGTGTTTGAGGTGGGTGAGGTGGTGGTCTCAGCCACCACCAAGAAGGTTCAGAAGGGGTTTTACATCCAGAGTTGTTTTGAGCATGAAACACCCCCCATAACGGCCCAAAGATCCCCCAAAACGGTGAAAATGGGAGTTGGTTGCCCAAAGCGAGTGTCAGGTGCTGGGTTGGGTCAATGTGACCACAAAGAGGCAAAAATAGGGAGCGTTCACCCAAAATGAGCACCCAGAATGGTTCTGGGCACAGGAGGTGCCTCCACCACCATCCCAGCGGCCTCCGCAGTGCCAAAACTGGGACAAACCCACCCAAAACACGTTTGGCCACCCAACACCCCCCCCAGCAGCCCAGGGGGACTCAAGAAGTCCCCAAGGAGTTGAGGTTGCCCCAGGTGACCCCAGGCGATGTTGGCAGGGTGCGAGGGCCGCTGTGGCATGGCCGCCGTGCGCCTCAAGGACGGGGCCACCTTCGACGGTGACAAACTCTACGCCTTCACGCAGGACACGCTGCCCGCCTACGCTGCCCCCCGCTTCATCCGGATCCAGGTCAGCGGGACCCCCCACCCCGGGGGCTCCTGGGGGCTTCGGGGTGGTGGGGCTGGCCTTGGGATGGAGATGGTCCAGCACTGGAGCGCCCAGTCACGGCCAGGGGGAATCTTGGAATGGTTTGGGTTGGAGAAGACTTGAGGGCTCCTCCAGTTCCATCATGGCAGGATGGAATCATGGAATGGTTTGGGTTGGAGGGGTCTTCAGGGCTCCTCCAGTTCCATCCTACCAGGAATCATGGAATGGTTTGGGTTGGAGGGGTCTTCAGAGCTCCTCCAGTTCCATCCTACCAGGAATCATGGAATGGTTTGGGTTGGAGGGG